AGCCTAATAGATGGTATGTGGAGGGCCAGTACCAGATATACAAAGTTGCTCGCATACTGAATGAGCACAATAAGATTGCCTGATTAGTCACCGATGAGCGTTGGGTTCTCACATGTAGCCTTCACACCGCTCCAGTAATTAAGGAGCTCTTTTGTAGGCATAGGTGTGAGTGGATGGCACAGCCACTAGGCATGTATAGCGAGGAGATAGTGAGGGAGTTCTACGCTTTCTGTCACCACCATTAGAGGGTCCATCTCAAAGCGGGCCAAGCCCGCAACTCAGCCTCCACTTGAGGCTTCACTAGGCCGGGGTTTTACTCTGGACATCTCCAAGACCACCCTCCGCAGGTTTATCTATGGCCCGGACCAGACTCTGCCCATCAATACAACATAGTTAGACTATCGCATGGGCACCATTCAGAGTGGGGAATTTCAGAGAAATGCCGAGCAGCGGGAGTCACTTATTAGGTGGCTAACACAACATCTTTCCACGGATGGAGAGCACGCAGAGTGGGTCAGTACTCTGAGCCTGGGTATTAGGAAGGCTACCCTGAATTTTACTACAAAATTTTTCTGGTTGCTGGTACGAAATAGATTGTCCCCCACTCTGGCGGATAATGTGGTCACATGGGACCGAGCGATGATAGTTGCAGTCATGGTGGCAGGACTTGAGGTAGATTTTGTCCGCATACTGATTGCGGAGATCCACGAAAGGGCCTTCAAGGCCACCACCACTTTGCCTTTCCACTGCCTCATCTTCCAGCTTTGAAGGGACTCAGTTGTACCAGTTTGGCACTATGACAAGTTTCTTAAGGCAACTAATACTCTAGACATCGGCCTGATCCGAGATGACGCTAACCTAGACGCACCTCGCATAGAGCCACATGTTGAGGTACCACCTCTAGGTGATGATCTTGTCGCCGATGTTGCACAGATGCAGGCTACTGACTCCACCCTTCCAGCCACTATAGCAGACACCCATGCTCCACCGTATCCGACTGTCAGTCAGGCCAATAGCTCATCCCGAGCCACTCTCTCTTTCGGTTCCTCCGCCATCCCTCTAGCTTGAGTTATGAAGCTGGAGACTCAGATGGACACACTGCTACAGCATATTAGGTCATGGATGCAGCGGTTGATAGAGTAGTCCGAGGCTAGGATGGAGCCGATAATGGACCAGATGAATCAGGCCGTTTATAAGCGCCTGGATGCGTTCGAGCTGCGAATCTTGGAGAGGCCAGCCCCGACCATTGATTTATCTATCTTCCATGCAGAGCTGGCCAGCCTTCGTGCAAATATGGGTTCCATCCTAGTCCCTCCCGAGTCTGCACCAGTGGCTGCCCCTACAGAGGAGGTTGACACTGTGGTGATATCTGTCTTATTTGGCGATTCCATGCCACCACCGGACTCTTCCCGTGCTGCTGGGAAGCGCTCCCGCTCCGATCGTACTTCTAATGATGCTGAGGCTCATAGATTGAGGAAGAAGGAGCGACAACAGATTGAGGAGGCTCGGAGGGCATCCATAGTTGATGAAGAGCTTAGACAGCAGCTGACTAGGGAGGTAGGTGTTGGCCCATCCGCCAGAGTGAGCACTACTGAGGGTGCTGAGAGAGTTGATGAGAGAACTACTGAAAGTGCTAAGATAGTTGATGGGAGCGCTACTAATGGCATTCCAAGTGTTGATCCAGTGGGCTCTGAGAAACCGGACCCACCCGCTTCTTGAGTGGTCTTCGACGCATATGCACAACAGGTTTGCTTCACCCGATCCTTTAATTTTTATTTTCTTGTGCATTTGGGACAATTGCACTTTATTTTGTTGTGGTGGGTAAATGGACTGTGAGTGATAGGGTGAAGTCTGAGTAACCCAACTCATAATCCTCTCTTGGGGTTTTCTTTCCTGTGTTCTTTTTCCCCAAGAGATTGTTTTAATTTATGTTGAACCGGCATGTGTAGGAATGTATGTGTAGGAGTAAGTAAAAAAATTGAAAGCACGATGGCATGAAAAGCATGAAAAAATGATCCTTGTCCAAAAATGATGAAATGTGCTACATATGTAGGGTTGATAAGTTGAATGTGTTGGATCTCAATGTGACATGAAAGGAACCGATTTGACCTCATGACTTAAGCTAAAACTTGAACTGGGTAGTTGAATAATCTGATAATGAAACAATGTGCCAAGTGAGTCTGAGGAAAAGCTTGAATGTCATACAGTGTGTGCCAATCTAGAACTTACCCCGTTGGTCCTGCTAAGATAATCTAGGCTAGAAGTTAGGAAGTGATCATTGGCCCTTGTTCAAATTAGTCCACTTATGCCTAAAATGATCCAACCAAGTGAAATCAATATTCCCTTTGATCAAAATGTTTGAGCCTAAGATAGACCATTCCATTCGATTCACCTAACTCGCCTTCCCTAAAATAATTGTTTTGGCCCCGGTCCCTCCTTGGACATGTGCACCTTGACTTAGGCCAAAAGCCTAAGTTGAGGGTGGCTAATTCCAAAAGTTACCTTGATCTTGGCCCTGGTCCGACATAAAATATTGTGCACCTCAACTCATGTTAAACACATAAGCTGAAGGTGGTTGTAAAAAAATAAAACTAGAAGAAAAAGGGTATGAAAAGAGTTGTGTGTTGAAGAGAGAAACTGAAAAGAAAGAGGTGTGACTGTGCAAAAGAGGCAAAAAGATGATAAACAAAAGTGTTGAAAGAAATAAAGAAAAAAGAAAGTGAAAGAAAAAGAGGAAAGTGAAAAATAAGAGCCACAAAGTCAGAAGTCACATCTGTGTTGAAAAGAGTCAAGGGAAAGAAAGTAAAATGAAAGGATGTCAAAAATAGGTTGAGAAAAGAGGTAAAAAACCAATGTAATGTCAAGGAAGGCAGAAAGTCATTAAAAAGTATCCAAATGTACCACACCTGACCCTGAGCCTACGTTACAAGCTAAGAAAGTCCTATAGTGATCCTAGCAACTAGTTTGGAGAGTCTAAGAAGTGAAAATAAGGGAAAGCCTATGGTATTGAGCACTAACTGTACTTGAAGTCACTTCTGAGCGTGAGTGTTGAACGAATCCTAAGAACTTGAAAGTCGTATCTCTTGTGAGTGAAAACGGATTTCTTTTGAAGTGAGGGCACTAGTTACATTGTTGGAGAATTGATACCTTGGTGATTGTGAATAGTGTATGTTGTGGTGTTTGTTGGTCGATCTATGTCATGTTTTAACCCGTATGAGTTGATTTGTTGAGTCTAAGAGAAAAGATTTGCACTGAGAAAATGGAATGGATTAAAATGGTCATGTGATTGCTTGAGTTTGTATGTCTGCTTCTACACAAGTGTCGTTTAGAGTGTTAGTGTGTCGCTTGAGGACAAACAACAAGTTTAAGTTGAGGGTGTTGATATACCGTGAGTTTACGGTATTTCTAATACATTTCACTTACAAGTTGTGTGTGTCTAGGGCCTTTTTTGTTTAATTTGAGGGTGTCGATATACCGTGAGTTTACGGTATTTTTGATGCATTTCACTTAAGAGTTGTGTGTGTCTAGGGCCATTTTGTATTAGAAATAATGTTTTATGTGTTATGTTTGCAGGAAGTAGGCTTCGACGCGGTTGAGTGAGATGACAACTGAAAATATGCAGAAGTAGCCACCCACGGAGTGACCTACGGACTGTAGCTCCTCTGACGGTCCATCGATGGGTAGGCGTAGATAGGAACATCAGGGAATTCTGACCATGTGTGGAACTACGAAGCGATCCACGGACAGTACGTAGGTCGACCCACGGGTCGTCCTGCACATCCGTCGAATGTGTTCAAAGAGTTGAAGTTCTAGTACCTGATGAAAATCCTAAGTGTGGAGCTGCACGTCCGTCGTTGCTGATCTGAGAGTAAAGGTTCCAGCCTCTGCTGAAAAAGCTCTAAGTGTTGACCAACGGAGAGGACCTACGGACGGTAGGTCAACCCACGGTCTATAGGTCGAGTTGTCGATCAAAGCCGCGTTCCAGAAAGTTTATTTCCTTATTTTGTTTCCTTTTTGTTTAGGACATGTTTTCCTATAAATAGGGTATGTAAACCTCATTTTTGGGGGTTAGACATTATTGTTTGCTTTTAATTCTTGGTATTTTCTTGGGAATTAACTTGCAAACTTTGGCAATTTGATTTCCGGATTTCGGTTTATAAGATTTGCGCTTTGAAATTCAATTGGAGATTTCAGGTTTCTTCTACTCTAAACGTAAGTTCATGAATTCTCTTTATCAAAATATGAATTGTGTTCTTCCAAGCATGAGTAACAAAATCCACAACTAGGGTTTTAGGAACCATGAGCAATTAACAATGTATGAATAATAACTAAGTAATTCTTTAATAGTGTTGATGCATGTATTGGTAATTATTTCGCTTCGAAGTCTTTTTAACGAGTGCACGCGTTAGAACTCACCTTGTTGCTACTTGCCGGACCAATGAGGTAGTTAATAAGAAATTAATTATCAACAGAGATTTAGTGTGATACTATCTAATAGTCTAATGTCTATTGGTGCGAGGGTGAAAACTAAGCCATACATTGATGTGATGTCAAATCTGTGGTAAAGGTAAGGGTCAGTAAAGTATACACACGTAGCCGGACCAAGGTACGGGGTGAAATTCCCGTATTTAGGAGGACCAATCACTTAGGGATACCTATCTTACCAACTTTGCATGTAAAACACTAGGAAAGGATTACTATTATTAGGATTACCGCGTTCAGAGCTTATGGGGAACACATACACCCTAGTTTCTCTCTCATATTGATAACTCGAAGTTTGAATCTTGCCCACTTGTTACTTAAACAACAATCGGTTATTTGCTTACAACCCCCCCCCTTTATTTATTTGTTTCGGAAATAGTTTGACTAAACAAATATAATTGTGAGTTAAGTTTAAGTCTGAACCATATTCCGCGTGGGATCGACCCCAACCTACAAGTTGGGTTCTTTATTTGACGACGACCGCTTATACTTCTTTAGGGAAGTGTAATTTGAGTGTATTAGTAATAGCCCGCAAGTCCCACAAAATACCAAATCTTAGTGACTGAAGTAGCACTGGTCCAACCTCTAACTGCCTCAATCTTGACTGGATCCACTCTAATACCTTTCTTGGACACCACATGTCCTAGAAATGCAGTTGAATCAAGCCAAAACTCCCACTTTGAGAACTTGGCATATAGCTTCTCTTCCCTCAATCTCTAGAGCACAATCCTCAAATGTCGATCATGATCCTCCTAAGCCTCGGAGTAAACCAAGATGTCATCAATGAACACTATAACAAAGCCCAAATAATGTCGGAACATCCTGTTCATCAACTCCATGAACGTTGTAGGGGCGTTAGCCAAACCAAAAGACATCACAAGAAACTCATAGTTCATATAACGAGTCCTAAAAGTTATCTTAGGGATATATGAAGCCCTAATCTTTAGTTGATGATAATGGGACCTCAAGTCAGTCTTAGAAAATAGAGATGCACCCTGAAGCTGATCAAACAAATCATCAATACGAGGAAAAGGATACTCGTTCTTCACCGTCACTTTTTTCAACTGTCGATAATCGATACACATCCTCATGGACCTATCCTTCTTCCTCACAAACAACACAGGAGAACCCACGTAGAAACACTAGGGTGAATGAATCATTTTCTCAAAAAATCTTGTTGCAACTGATCCTTCAATTCCCTCAACTCAGCTGGAGCCATACGATAAGGAGGAATGGAGATGTGTTTGGTGCATGGCTCCAAGTTGATAGCAAAATCAATATCCCTATCCAGAGGATCACCTAGAAGATCAGTAGGAAACACATCTAAAAACTCTCTAACCACGGGCACAAATCCATGGGAGGTGGCTCAACACTAGTATCTCGAATGAAAGTCAATACGGACAAACACCCTCTATATACCAATCTCTAAGCTCAAATGAAAGAAATGACTTTGCTAGGGTAAGAACCACTAGCACTCATCCACTCAACTCTCGAGACACCCGACATTGCTAAGGTCATAGTCTTAGCATAACAATCAAGAATAGCACGATTCGGGGAGATCCAATCCATACCCAAAATCACATCAAACTCTACTATCCCCAAAATGATCAAGTCTACCCAAGTATCATACCTAGCCAAAAAAAACCCAGATAGGCTCGATACACTCGATCCACCACTAAGGATTCACCCACTGGTGTAGGAACAAGAATAGGCACTAGCATGTAATCAAACATCATATCAAACCTGGCAGCAAAATAGGTAGACACGTATGAGAAAGTAGACCCCAGATTAAACAATACAGTCGTAGGTCGATGGCAAACTGGAACAATACCTATGATCATAGAATCAGAAGTCTCAACCTCAGGTCTCCTAACAAACGTATAACACTGGCCATCTCGGCCACTTATAATCTGAGTAGAACCTCTACCTCCACCTTATGGAGCTGTAGGACCCCTACCAAAAGTCCTACCACCTCTGCCTAACTGAACTCTTCCCTGACCCTATCGGAGGCGTTGAATCCCTAGCTGGAGAAGATGAATAAGAATGTTAGGATCCTGAATGAGTCTGAAGAGGACATTTGTCGCATCATATGACCTGGATCCGCACAAATAAACCAAGATCTAGACACAGATAATTATTGTTGCGAATCGGATGAGCTACCCTGGCCACCTCGGCCCGAACCATAAAACCCTCGGGGTGACTAACCAGTCTAAGCTACTGGCACAAATGCATGAACCGGCCCACGACACTGAAAGGTGCCACTACCTCTATGTGAACACTTGCCTCCAAATGAGGTACCAAAAAACTGACCAGAAGAATGGGCTCTCTTGGGCTCTCCAAACTCCTATAAAAGCATAAACTTTTCCTTCTTGGTGGTGCTCACAATGGACTGGAAGGAATCCCCATCTCTGAACACATATGACCTGGTAGGGAAATTCAACCCTCTCACAAACCTGCGAACTCTCTCTGCCTCATCAGGCACAATAGTCATAGCATGCCTAGAAAGGTCACAGAATCTTGCCTCATACTCAGTCACAGACATACAACCCTATCTCAAGTCCTTAAACCTTAGTCAATTTTTCTCCCTCACGCCCCAAGGAATGAAGTGATCTTGGGAGGCACTAGAGAACATATCCTACTCAATTGGAGGAGATCCATCTAGTCTAGACTTCCCAAAAATCCTCCACCACTCTCTGGCACGTCCACGCAGCTGAATTGCAATTAAAAAAACCACGAGCATCCACCATACCCAGTGCCTCAAGAATCTCATCACACAAAATCAAGAATTCATGAGCATCCCCGCTCTTACCATATTCAAAATGGGTGATTTTATCTTCTGAAACCTCTCATAACACTGCTCCTCAGTTGTCGTCAAAGTAACATCACAAGTAATCTAATTAGTCATAACTGATGTTGGAACCACCGGTAGCTGACCCACCTGGTCCCGAATACCTACAGTTTGATGATGACCTAGAGTCTGCGCTCCTAATCTAGTTGTAGCACCACCCTTAGAAGATTTCTCCACAACACCAAGCATCATCAACAAGGTCTCCTAAAATAAGAAATCTCCAAACCCCGAAGAAACCTAGTCCTCATCAACCTGAACCTATGGCTTAGGAGAAGCCTCTCTACCTCTGTCTATAGCTGGTGCCGCTCCACAGGCACGACCTTTAGCCGGTGCTATTCCATGAGGACAACCTCTAGCCCTAGCCCTACCTCTACCCCTAGTTGGGGTCTCAGCAACTGCTTCGGAGACTTCCTCCCCTCTACCACTAAAAACAAAAGCTCTAATCCTCGGCATCTGCTAAAACAACACGCGACAACTCAGCACTAGCGAAGGTAACTATGAATGATAAGAAAGGATGAACAAAAGGAAGTTCCCTAACAGTCTTCATAGCCTCTCAAAGATAAGTACAAACGTCTCTGTATTGATCCTCAAGATTCTACTTAGACTTTGCTTGTACACATGTGAGATCTATGAACATAGCTTTGATACCATTGGTCACGACCCAAAAATAGACGTGATGATACTTGTCTATTCCCACCAAGACAAGTCAGGTCTAACCCAATGAAAACAAAAGAAATGCAAAAAAAATAAAGTTAGAACAAGACAAAGGCAGAAAACTTATTCATTCTAAATAATACCCTAAACAATACCGTAAAACCTGGTTGTCACGTGTACAAGCCAATAGATACATAAAGTGTGAAATTTAGAAATAAGTACAAGTCTCAGTCTTTGTTTCTCAAATAGAACAAAGTATAAAGAAAAAAGAAAAAGAGTGTCCGCTGCAGTGATAAGCAGCTACCTCTATAATTCCTCAACAAGCCTCGAAATCAAAAGAAGGAGAAAGAGATCACGTGGGTCCGGGATCAGAAGCTATACAAGTGTAGAAGTAAGTGATGAGTACCAATAACACAGTACACAACAAACTACCTAATAAACAAGGTAACTAGCTAGAAATCGAATACCCTTACACTCTAACCGAACATCCTCAAACTACAACCTGCACAAAAATTAGCCCAACCTAGCAATTCTATAATACACGACTCATGAGGCCCAATATTCACAATCAATAATCAAACGAATCAAGTCAAACTCAAGGTCAAGTATTTCAATTACACATAACAATTACATCAATATCTAGTAATAAGCAGGTCATGTATAAGCATAAAATGCATTAAGTTACAATAATCAATCTCTTGCCGGAACCATTTCCCATCAGGACAATAGCATTAGTCGGAATCATTTCCAATCGGCACTATTTCATTAGTCAGAACCATTTCTCATCGGCTTTATATCAAACCACTAGCCGAAAATGACCTCAGCCTCACAACACTTGCTGGCAAACACCTCGGCATCATAGCACTCACCGGTAAAGACCTCGGCATCACAACATTCGTCGACAAAGACCTCAGCATCATAAATCATCACATGTCTAATCACGGTGTTCACAATCAATGCACACAACACACAGAAGAGAAAATATTCATACAATTCAAGTCCACATTCATGCTTTCAAGCATTTCCTCAATCAATCAACAAGGATCACAATAAGGCAATTCACATCATCATGTTTAACACATGGACTTTCTTATTTCAACCCATTTTTATTCATTTAGATGTATCAAGAGGAAAATTTAAACCCTTCACCTCATCCCCAATACTCCCGACAAACAAGCAACGAAGGAAGTACACAAATTCTACTAGAATACGGGGTTTAAGAGATCACTTGCCTCAAATCAATCAATTAAATCACTCCAAGAGTTGAGTCTTCCCCTTTCGAATCACTTCCAAAGCCACATAATCTATAATAATCAAGTATTCACATCACTATTCGGGAACAACAATACCTACATCAATTCTCTTGAAAAGTGGGTCAATTAACACAAAACTCATTCCAAAAATAAGATTTGAATCCGAAATTTAATACTTGAAAATATTATCAAGGCTTTAGGAACTCATTAGAGAACACAATTTCAAAAAAGGGATCAAAATCACCATTTTATTAATTTCTTGGGTTCTTGAAGATAATCCCAAATTTCTCATTTCAGAGCTTGATTTGAACACAAAAATTCATAAATAGCAATGGGTAAATGAAGATTTAGAGTTAAGAATCGTTACCCAAAAGATTTTCCTCAAACATCTGGTCTAAATCGCCACCCTAAAGCTCCCAAAACTAAAAAATGGTAAAACATGGCTTAAACCCCGAAATGGCAGGCCAAAACCCTCTCCGATCTCACAAAGTGACCGGGGGTTCCCTTAAGTGAACACCGCTAAAAATATGGGCGTCACAAAAGAGAATCCTCCTTTGCAAAAGTGAAGGTTGCTTAAGCGACAGACCCTTCGCTTAAACAGAGGTTTCTTAAGTGACAGGACCTTCACAAAAGCGAGGCCTGCTGCACCAGAAAACACATCCACAATTCAAAACATTGAAAGGGCCCTTGGGGTTTATTTAGAACCCCGTACACATAAAACACATATGCAAATCAATTATACTTGATGTTCCGGACTCAATGGAACTATCCAAATATGAATCTGGGGTTTTCTTTACCTGACATCCATGAAAACCACAAGAAGCTAATTCAACGCATAAAAAGGCCAAAACAATTGGAACCTCACAAAAATCAACCAAGACCACTCCTAGGCCTAAAATCATCCCCCAAATCAATGAAACTCTCGAAATTCCTATCTGAGCATCCGAACCCTAAATGTTGACCAAAGTCCACTAAAATGCTAAAATTCTACAATTTCACAACTTAAGACCTCAAATCCTCAAAAAGACTCTGAATCTGAAACCCACAGCTTTCACATATTAGATTCCACATTCCGAAACTAATGGAATCGACAAAATTCCAGTCTAATACTCAAAATTCCAAAAGACTCTGAAAATCAATTTCTTAACAACTTAGCATTGCAAACTCAAAACTTATCAAAATCTCAACATTTACCCAAATTTCAAATCAAAACTCAAACAAGAAACAACTCGGGGTCAATATTGCGAGGGAAAAACGGTAATTTTTATGAAAACACCAAAAATGACCAACCGGGTCATTACAAAAGGTCTGTCTAACTTCTGGATTCTCT